CCATTGAGCGTTGTTCACCTTGTCTCAGCCGGAACAGAATCAGCACCAGGTGCTTTGCCATATGAAAGGAGCCTAATGTCATTCAAAACTTCTTTTTCAGGTGGAACTTCAGCTGGGGAGGATTGACTTCAACCTGAGGTGGGGAGGTGGGGGGAAGGTCCATTGCTCATACAAAAGCTGATTGAAATTTTCTAAGTTATAAGGCAAGAGGAGGTTATCTTCCAGGAATTCAAGGACACCTCCATTGTTCATATCTATAAAGGTAAAGGAATTAGATTGTCCTGTGACAATCACCAGAGATGGGGGTAGGGGGTCTCTTAGTTATTGCTGGCAAGATTCTTGCCACAGTCCTCCTTAATTGGCTGATTCTTCACCTGGAAGATGGTCATCTATCTGAGAATCAGCGTGGCTTCAGAAAGAGTCAAGGAATGGTTGATAATATGTTTGCTGCCCGACGACTCCAGGGGAAATGCTAGGAGAAGAACAGAGGTCTGTACACAGTGTTTGTTGATTTGACCAAGGCCTTTGATGCTCTCAGTCATGATGGTTTATGGAAAATTATGTCAAAATTTGGTTGCCTAGAGAAGTTCATCGGTATTGTATGTCAGTTTTGTTATGGTTTGCTTGCCCCGGTTCTGGATAATGGACAATGCTCTTGTGCTCTCTCAGGAACCAGTAGAGTGAAACAGGGATGTGTGCTTGCTCCCAAAACATTATCCCATGGTGTTTTCAGTTCTGTTGTCAAAGAGGACGAACTGGCATCAAGGTCAGCTACCGCACTATGGTGAATTCTCGAATTTGAAAAGACTACCAGCTAAGACTAAAGTAGAAGGAGTATTGGTGCATGATTTTTGTTTACAGATAATTGTGCTCTCAATGCAGCCTCTGAAGCTGAGACACAACAAAGTATGGATTGATTCTGTTGTTTGTGGTAATTTTGGCCTAACAATTAACACCAAGAAAACATAGGTACTCCGTCGGCCAGAAACAACACCCATATGTGGAACCATTGGTTACAGCAAATGGAGAAGTTTTGAATACTGTGGATAAGTTAACTGACGTAGGCAGTATATTTTCCAGGGATGTACACATTGATAATGAGGTTGACACACTCATTGCCATAGCTAGCTCAGTATTTGGGAGACTCCAAAGGAAAGTGTAGGTGAGAAGAGCTATTATTAGACTGACTACCAGACTGAACATTTACAGAACCATATGCTGATCTCAATGTCGTATGCCTCTGAAAACTGGACTATTATACCAGCACCATACCAAGAAACTGAATCACTTCTGTTTGAATTATCTTAGGAAGATTCTGAAGATCACTTGGCAGGATAAGATATCAGACATTGAGGTCTTTTCTTGAACTAAACTGTCAAGCATTCAAACTCTACTGCAGAGAGCGCAACTCCGATGGGCTGGCCACATTGTTTGAGTGCCAAGCATATGTTTGCCAAAAAGACTTTTATGGAGAACTCATACAGGGCAGGTACTCATGTGGTAGTCAAAAAAAGTAATACAAGGACACTCAATATCTCTGTTAAGAACTTTGGAATTGGGAAGCTAGGTGGCACAGTTTGTTAGTGCACTGGCCCTGGATTCAGGAGGACCTGAGTTCAAATATGGTCTCAGGCACATAACATTTACTAGCTGTGTGACCCTGGGCAAATGATTTAACCCCATTGCCTAACCAAAAAAAAAAAAAGAACTTTGGAATTGTGTGACATGGGAGACACTGGCACAGGACCACCCAGCATGGTGTGCGCTCGTCAGAGAAGGTGCTGTGCTCTATGACCAAAGCAGAATTGAAGTAGCTCAAAAAAAAAATTAGAGATGCACAAATTTAGAGAATCCACACCAAATGTTCACATGGACTTTTTGTGCCCCACTGTGGTAGAGAATTCCAAGCTCATGGGTCTCATCAGCCAGTCAGACACACTGTAACTAAAGTCCAACATAGTGATATCATTTTGGTCCTTTTCGAGAACAAAGGACAATAACCAACTAAACAACTCTTGGTTGATTTAGTTATAGCTGTTTTATGTTACCTGAGTCTTTTCCTTGATTTTCATGAAGTTGATAACACATTAGTGTCTTATGAAATAGATGGAGGAAGGATCATCAATAATGGGCTTCTTGACTTCACTTAGAGAATGTATTGGATGTTCACTGTAGTAAGTAGGAAAGAAGAAAATGAAAAGTTGTGTTTGAGTGAATTGGCAGTTTTATCTCTGGACCAACTTGGGTCATTTGTGTAATTATAATAGAAATCTTTGTCGGGGAGAAGGAAAGGAGAAAATAGTAGACATTTTTAGTCAGGAGAATGACAAGGTTTTCTTCCTAAGGTGGTGTATTCCATCATATCTCTGAATTTCCTTCCTTTTTTGATCACTTCCATAAGCTTTTGAGTTTAAAATTTTCCTCCCTCTCCCTTCCCCCCTGCCTCCCCAAGACGTCCCACAATCTGATATAGGCTATACATATACATTCCTGTTAAACATATTTTCATATTGGTGATGTTGTAAAGGAAGAATTAGAACCAATAGGAGGAACCACAAGAAAGAGGAAACAAAACAAAACAAAACAGAAGAAACAAAATAACAAATATCATGCTTTGATTTGCATTAAGACTCCATGGTTCTTTCTTTGGATGTGGATAGCATTTTCTGTTATAGATCCTTGCATTGCTGAGAAGAGCTAAGTCTATCAAAGTTAGTTATCACACAATGTGGTGGTTACCGTGTACAATGTTCTCCTGGTTCTGCTCATTTCACTCAGCATCAGACCATACAAATCTTTCCAGGTTTTTCTGAAGTCTGCCTGCTTATCATTTCTTATAGCACAATAGTATTCCTTTACATTCATATACCACAACTTGTTCAGCCATTCCCCAATTGATGGGCATCCCCTCAATTTCCAATTCTTGGCCACCACAAAAAGAACTGCTATAAATATTTTTGTACGTGTGTGTACTTTTCCCTTTTTTTTTTTTTTGGTGAGGCAGTTGGGGTTAAGTGACTTGCCCAGAGTCACACAGCTAGTGAGTATGTCTGAGGCTGGATTTGAACTCAGGTCCTCCTGACTTCAGGGCCAGTGCTCTATCCACTGTGCCACCTAGCTTCCCCCTTTAAAAATTTTTTTAAAATTGTAATTTTTTTTTTCCCATTTTTATGATCTTTTTGGGATACAACTCTAGAAGTGCTGTTGCTGAGTCAAAGGGTTTGCACATTTTTATAGCCCTTTGGGCGTAGTTCCAAATTGCCCTCCAAAATGGTTGGATCATTTCACAACTCCACCAACAACATTTCCTTCCTTTTTAGAAAAAAGTTTTATTGATAAGTTTCATTTTATTTTATAGAAATTTATAGATTACTTCCATTTTGTGGGAGTTCTCTTGTAACGAAGTAAACCAGCTAAGTAAAACTAACAACATAGTGTTCTGTTCGGAAAGTGCATATATAACATTTCACATCTGTTACAACCCTACCACCTTTCAGTTTTTTTGATTATCAGAATCCTTTTTTTCTTTTGCTTCCGCTTCCTAAATATGTATAGTTAAACACAACAAATTCCTTTAACAGCTGTATTAAAAAGTTTATAGGTCTCATTCTGCAGCTTAAATCAGTCATATTCCAGTGATGGATATGACATGCTTCACTATTTGTCCTCTAGAATCTCAAATGGTCAGTTGTATTGATCATAGTTTTTACAGTTTCCAATTATTTGTTTTTTGGTTTGGTTTTTGTTTTTTACAGTGTTGTTGCTATTGCATAAATTGTTCTGGTTCTACTAATTTCGTTCTTCATCAGTTTATAAAGGTTCTCAGAATTGTTCCTTTTTATAATACTGATTTTATAGCATAAATTGTTCTTGTTCTGCTCACTTCACTCTGCATCAGCTCATACACATCTTTCCACATCTTTTTGAAATCATCTGTTTCCTCATTTCTTGCAGCACAATAGCATTTCATTACATACATATAATTCACAAGTTATTCAGCCATTCCTCAATCGTTGGATATCCTCTTAGTTTCCAGTTTTTTTTTGCCACCACAAAAAGAGCTGCTATGAATATTTTTGGGTATAAAAACCCTTTACTTTTTCTTTGATTTTTTGGGGGGGATGAGGGGAGAGGTATAAGCCTACCAGTGATATAGGTAGTTCAGAAGGCACATATGGTTTAGTAACATTTTGTGTATTATTCCAAATCTCTCTCCAGGTTAGTTGTACTCATTCACATTTTAATGGTGCATAAATTTGCCTGTTTTCCCACAGATTCTCCACCATTTGTCATTTTTCCTTTTTTGTTAATTTTTTGCCAGTCTGAATTGAGGTGGGATGGACTCAGACTTGTTTTAATTTGCATTTCTTTAATTAATAGTGATTTGGAGCATTTCTTCATATGGCCATAGATAGCTTGCATTTCTTCCCTTGAGAATAGCCTGTTTGTATCCTTACTACATTTATCAGTTGAGGAATGGCTTTTTCTTACAAATTTGAATCAGTTCTTTATGTATCTTGAATAGGAGATCTTTATCAAAGAAACTTGATGTGAAGGTTTTTTGTTTGTTTCCTTTTTAATTTAGTTTTTGCATTTTAATTTCCTTTTTTCTTAACATGACTAAGCTAGTTAAGCTAGGTGGCTTTATTTTCATTTTAGACCTCATCAAATCTGTATGGGGACTTTTTGCTCTGTCTTTCCCTTTAAATGTTGGAAGGTGAAGGGATGAAAAGTATAGGGGAACAGGTGGGGAGGGCATGGATGGGTGTTGTGTGTGGGTGTAGAGTAAGGTGTTTGGAGCTATGGGTCAGTGAGCAGGAAGGATAATTCTACAAAGTACAGAAACCTCAAGAATTGTGGCCTTTTTCTGTTAGAGTGTTCGAAAGAAGAGAAGGGTGGGGAGATAAAACCACTTACTTGCCTCTCAAACTCGTCTGTTTTTTTGTCTTCTTTTCTTCCCTTTCTGTTTGTTTGTTTGTTTTTTTATTTTTAAAATATAGCTGCAGATAGTAAGGATGAAGAAATCAAAGTTCCACCCAGGCGATCCTTTCTGGGTATGTATGATGCAAACCCGTGCTGCATGAAATTGCCATCTGAACACATTTTGTTTTTCATTTCTATTAGACTGCTTTTCCTGCTTCCCAGTTCCTTACCTCTAGCTTCTCCTTCCCCAGGCATTTCCCTATTCCTATCATTGTTATTTCATTTCTGTTTGGTTTTTCTGTTATTTTAGATTGTGGTTGCATGCCAGCCATTTCTACCAAGAATCCAGATAAGCCATTTTGCAAATTAACTAACTTGCAATTTGACTCTTTTCAAGCATGGAGTTCTGTAGAAAGACCTATTTTTCTTTTTGTGTGTGGCTAATTTTCTTTTGGTGGGGATGGAGGGTTGTGTGGGATTGGGATGAGGGTAGGATTATTGATAGTGTTTCTCTTTGTGGCTTTGTCCTTGGCCTTGCTTACCTTCATTCCTTTTCCATATCTGGTTTTTCAGATTGGTGTATGCCAAAGTACAAGGTTTACTTTTATTCTCCTTTATATTCTTTCATAAGACAAGATGACAGCTTTACATAATTTTTTAGGATGAATGCAGTCTGCTTGGGTTTTTTTTTCTTTCTGTGAAATTCCCTTGCAAGCACTCAGCAAAGGCAATGGTTTTTTGGTTCCAATTTATTCCTTACCCCTAATTTTCTTTTTCTTTCCTCAGCACTTTCTTTTTCTGTTCCTGGGTATTTTGAAAAAATAGTGTTAAGGTACTTAAGAATTTGCCAGTTATTTAGTACACACTCTTCCTTCCTCTCCCCCAACTTCATTCCCCTAGAGACTACCATCCTTGCCTCATTCATTCTTCAGGTTCTTAATGAATTGAAGTTTGCTTGGCCTAGTACAAATAGGCTGAAATTCATACTTGGTACCTGTATATGATACTACCTACTAAGCCCAAAGGGGAACTTTTGGAATGTGTGACTTTCAGTAGTTGTAATTCCTAAGGAGAAAGAGACATTTGAGAATATAAAAAAGAGGATTATCTGCATATAGCAGAATACCTTAGCTGGATGGACTTGTTTAAAGGAAAAAAATATGATGCTATTTCTAACAAAAATGTGAATGAAGAATGATTTGTACTTTTCAGGCCCTACAAATAGTATATATTGACTAATAATGTGATTTACCATGCTCTTTTTTGTTTTTGTTATTTCTTTCCAACTTTTTTCCTTGGTATTTTAACCCAAATAAATTGTTTTTTTCTTTATAATGTTTATAATCCTTATGAATTTGAGAATTTATATGTAAAAGTAACAAATCTGATTCTAACATATTGACTTTTTTTTGGTTATCCTTTAATGCTTCATCGTTGAGGATATGTGTAGAACCACAATCTGTTGGCTTTTCTTACTGGGAAAGTATCTGAAAGCTTAAGGATCTAATTTGAGGGCAGAAATGATAATATTCTTCTTTAGGCAGATTTATTTTCTGCAAAAATTGATGTTTGTTGAATTGAATGGCCTCATTCAATTCAAGCATCTTGTAAATAGAGAGAAAATGAACACGTTTTCCAACCTGACTCTTCTAACATACAGAGATCTGATCAGGTTATTCCACTCCTCAGAAATCATAAAAGGCTCCCTATCTTATCCTTTTGAACCAGTAGTTACGATCTCAATTTGTTCTGTGTCCTTGTTATAGGGTTTGAAGTATATAAGTATATAAATGCTTATATATAACAAAGATTATAGCCTTTGAAATAAATTGTTGGACTCTCCACAAAATCTGAAATGTGGAAAGGAGTAAATTCTTTGGGGGCAGGGAAGAAGTCTGGTGGATGTGTATAATTCATATACCTTTTATCTTTAAAGATAGGGTGTCCTTTATGGGGTGACCTTGTAAATAGTTACTTGCTCATAGTTGACAAGTAGGGAAGCATATTGATAGGGAAGAATGCATTGTTAAAAATAAACAGAATATGTTAAAATAGGCACATTTAAAAAAACTTAACTGCTAGGCTGCTTTAGGGGTTTTATATATGTATATGTATATATGTGTATGTGTGTGTGTGTATATATGTGTGTATATATATATATATATATACACACACACATATACATACTTTTTTTTTCCTTCTCAAAGTAGGAGAATTGAATTAAATTAAAAAAAGGGATAGTATTTTTTTTAGGGTATATGCTTAATTTTGCAGATTACCAAAGTCACCAAATGGATTTAAGAAATAGCCTTTCCTAGTTAGTAGAATGGTCACTCATTTCGTTTAGGGTATTACATAGAAATTTAGAGCTAGAAAGGATTTGAGAAATTATTTAAGGGAGGCATATGTGGTGTGATAGAAGTAGCATGGCATGCAAGTTCAGTGGCCAGAGTTTTAGTCCTATCTCTGCTGGTTAGCTTTGTAATTTAGAATTACAAAGAACTTGTTAACTTTATCCCCAGAGAGCTCGGTTTCCATATCTGTAAAGTGAGAGGCTTATATTTCTATGCCTAAGCATCCACTGTCCTGCCTAGTGCTGGTTTGGGATTCTGCCTGCAGGCACCCTGCCAGTGAATTCTGACAGTTAGTGGGAACATCTGCTAGAGAGCCATCTCATTAGCCTAGCCAGCCCCCTAGTGTTACTGTTTGTCTGCACAGCCATTAATTGCACTTGGAGCCTTGTGAAGCTTACACTAGGAGTGGAGAATATTTAGTTTGTCTTTTTTTCAACCAACAGATACCTTCTAATTTTGAATAGCTTGTGGCCTTGTAGGGCAAGTATTTTGAAGAAAATTTCAGGCTAATAAAATTAAGTCCCCTAACTTACAGCCTTTTGTATATTTAAATAGATAGCTTATATGTATTTGAGTAGCTTATACACATATATGTTGAGTAGCTTATACACGTCATATGCAGTTCTCTAAAGTTTTTATGTAGCATTTTCCTAACAACCCTGTGAAGTGGGTGGTGCAGATATTAACTGCATTTTACAGATTAGGAATTTGAAGCCTAGGTTAAGTTAATTTGCCTATATTCACATTGCTAATGTTGGGGCTAGAGTACTTGGTTTTTTTATTTAAATGGTCATGAAAGGAATATATGAGATCTGACAAATTATGAATAGGAGATGGAATACAAGCATCTATGAGTTCTTAAAAAAAAGGCAGTTTAAAAAAATCTACTTTTTTGGGAAAAATTCTCTTATGTTGAAAAACCGCTTACCACAATGACATGCGGGCAAAGAACGGTTTGTGTTATTTGTGTTTAATAGTTAGCACTATGTGGATATGTAATCAGTTAAGTAACAACAGAGTTAACTAACACTAGGTTTCTTGTATCTCTTAAAAAAATTGTGATAAATTTTTGAAATGGAATGAGCCTTACACTATGTGTTTTATAATTCAGAATGCTCTAAGCCAAGCAGAACTTTGGGCTTTCCCCATTCTTTGTCAGGCATTCATTTCCTGGCAGGGTGAGTCCCTTCTGTGCTGAAGGAACAGGAAAAGGAGAAGTGTCTGGAGATTTAGAAACCTGTGGTTGATCTGAGAAAGTTAAGGCAGGTTGGTGGCACAGTGGGTGGAGCCAAGGCTTGGAGTCAGGAAGAACCTAGTTCAAATTCTGCCTCAGAATTTGGGTCATTTGTGTCCTCTTGGTCTGTAAACCCAATAGGGACTGAGTGCTAACTCAGGGTTAGTTGTTGTACTAGGCAGGTGGCTGATGTTGTCCTGTCCTCTACAAGCTTTTGATCTCAGATGAATAAATGGGACATGGACATACAAGCAAGGGGAACTGTCATTGTAAACATTTAAGTAAAAATTATATTATGTGTATCAAAGAGTTAAGAGAATTTAGTGATGATAATAAATAAAGGAATTTGGCTAAAATAGGAAAAACTATATTTTTGGATCCTGTGTTTTTATATCCTGTAACCACAGGTGTCTGTCCCTCAAGTAAAGAAACTCAGGAGATTTTTTGGAGGACTTAATTTAAAATCAATACAATCCATTAACATACTTGAACATAACACATACACATTTCTAGTTGTTGTAATAACATCTTTTATTTTAGACCCTCCATTAAACTGCTATTCGTATGCCTTTATTTTGGTATGAAGGAACTCTGGGTTCTCCAGGCCAGGATGTGACCCTTGTTTGTGCCAGTGGAGAGAAAACTCTGGCAGGTCTCACCCGAATGTCTATGGGCCCAGGGATAGACTTTCCCTGTCCTAGACCCATTCTAGTTAACCTTGGAGAGGCCCATCACCAGATGACTGGCAATTAGGTTATGTCTTGTTGGTCAAAGAAATTAATGAAAGGTTATCTCCCTTAAGTATAGCAGTGGTTGCCATTCTTGTCTCTGAAGGAAATACCCAAATTCATGAAATCACAGCTCTTTATTGAAGTATTTAAATATTTGTGCATAGAATCTTATCACTTAAATTACTTTGCACATAAATTCTCATTTTTTAATACACATTATCTTAGCAATTTTGTTAAGCCAGAGTTTTTTCATACTCCTTACAGGCATGAAACTTTTTAACCATGAAAGAAGAATATCTTACAACCTTTTTCAGTGGGTTTAGGGTTTTTGTTTTCTTTTTTTTTATTAATTTATTTTGACTTATCAACAATCACTTCCATAAGCTTTTGAGTTTAAAATTTTTCTCCCTTTCCCTCTCCGCCTCCCTCCCCAAGATGCAGTCTGATATAGGCTATACATATACATTTCTATTAAACATATTTTCACATTAGTGATATTGTAAGGAGGAATTAGAACCAATAGGAGGAACCACAAGAAAAAGGAAACAAAACAAAACAAAAAAGAAGAAAAAAATAGCAAATAGTATGGTTTGATCTGCATTCAAACTCCATAGTTCTTTCTTTGGATGTGGATAGCATTTTCCATCATCTTTGGAGATGTCTTAGATCTTTGTATTTCTGAGAAGGTCCATCAATATCAGTCATCTCACAACATCACTGTTACTGTATAGAGTGTTCTCCTGGTTCTGTTCATTTCACTCAGCATCAGACCATACAAATCTTTCCTGGTTTTTCTGAAGTCAGCTTGTTCA